TAATCATCAAACAAAGCCCTTGGACGCCGGAACTTGCAGCTTTCCTCCTAAATCCCAAAACCCTAAACACGGTTTCACGGTTTAGTTGAGGGCTTGCGAAACAGTCGGACGTCGAGCCATCCGAAAACTCGAGTTGCCTCCGAAAGCCAACCGCTGAAGCCCCAGAGCCCCAACTCTGTACTCCGCGTACCCAAAGGGCTCATGGCTGCGGCAACAGGAGCTTGGTGCTGTAACCTTGCAAGGCAATCCGGGAAGCCTCAAACTCCAAGCCTTAAGCCGTGAACCCTACAATCCCAGCCCCCCCCAATGCCTAAACCCTAAGCTCGGGCCAGGCGTCGTGGCGACGGAGCGTTTGGTCCTCCGAACAAACGGCCTCTGCAGGTGCCTACTGGGCTTCAGGGCTTTGCGCCCCGAGCCCTCAACCCCTCAACAGACATCGTAGGATTGCAGCAGGGTTGGTCTAGAGGTTTCTCCACATTTCATGGAGTTTTTAACTAATGTGTTTCAACAGCCACGAGTAGCCCCAAAAGCCTCCTAAACCGTCAGAATCAGAAGAAGCCCTACGATCCTGAAGCCGTCAGTTCTTCCGCGTCTCGAAACCATCCTGGCCCTGGAATCCGCTGCATGTATGTGGTACCCTTCTGCCCTTTTTTGTTTTACGGCCTTCTAGGTCCGTACTATAACGCCCTCTAGCGGGGAAACGGGAACCCGAAATACAAAAGGAATTCTGGGGAACATTCTCGTCACACCTTTGTGGAAGTCTTTAAATCCCGTATGAAACCCATCTAAACACCCAGAAACACCGCTTCAAGACCACAGAACGCCCAATAAAAATCACGACGAAGCTGCTGAAACCCTTACAAAGCCTGATAATACCCCACCCAAAATCCCTATGCCCTAAAACCTTAAACACCACTAAAAACCCCTTAGCCCTACAAACCCTGAACCCTATAAACCCTATAAACCCTATAAGCCCTGCACCCCAAATCCCCTAAGCCCTAAACCCCAAAACTCGAATCCTAAGCCATGGAGGAAGGGTATGTTTCATCTTCGGGGAAAGCTTTGGGAGGGTTCGGGGCCCTGAAGCCCGAGGCCCGAAGGACGAACTTCTGGGATTTGTCTGAGGGGGAAGGGGTTAGGGCTTCTATAGGTCGTCTCGGGTATAGGACCTAGGATCTAAGGTTCGGTTTTTCTCTTTTTGCGTCTAGGGGTCAGGCTTTTCGGGTTTGGGATTTATAGGGCCAGTGTGATTAGGGGACCTTCAAAAATGGGGTCTTTCCGGCTTCTGCTGAGGCCGTTTTGCTGCAAGGGGGCGCTTCCCGTCAGGGCGCTTCCTGTAAAAATCTTGTAACTGCCCCTCACGGCCTTTCCCGTAAAAAGGGGTTTCCCCCAAGGAGCCTCCAGTAGGGCGTCAGAAGTTGGCCCAAGACATCCTACCTCCCCAGCTCCCCTAGTTTGAACGACGGTGCGTCAAACGGCCCGTCGCAAACAAGCCTCCCCCAAACCACTCTGAAAGAAACCCAAAGCGCCTCAACGCGCCAAGGTTGAGATTGGGTGCCCAAGCCCCAAACTCAACCCCTACACCCTATACACAGCCTAAAGCCTAAACTGTTGGAGCGTTGAACCCCTCCTACAGTCACAAAGCTCCAGGCCGCTGGAAGCCAAAGCTGAAGCCTCTGGCACCCGAAACTCTGAGCCGGGCCCCTCCTGAACTCCCGCAATCCTTGCAATCCTGGACCGGAGGCTAAACGCACGAGACCCTGAATTCTTGAAGAGTCAAGACCCCGGAGCCCCAGATTGGAATTAGATGGAATGTAAACTAGGCTAACTAGGACTCCAAGCTCTCAAGCCCTGCATATATACCCTCTACATCAGCCGTATAGAAGCCTTGTGTCCTATATAAGCCCCATGCCTATAGAGCCCTCGAGCCCTCATACGATGACTCGTCACAAACCCTCAAAGAGTAACCTTGATAGATCCCTTGTAGGACGGCCTAAAGCCAGGTGGCGTCGCTTTGGGCCAGCCGCGAAGCCACCGGGGGGGACCTGGGGCGGGTTCCTTTCAGAGGGCTCCTGAAGGAGATGAGGCTCTGAGGGTCTTTTGTGGAGGGGTCTCCAGGAATTTATGTGGGGTTTCAGAGGGCTTTTTCCAAGGGTTGGGGGGGGGGGGGGGGG